ATGCATGATACATTTTATGTCAATATAGGTACTAAGATTATTTCGTCTTAAATTATTATTTTACGATATATGACTCATTTTCATTTTATATAAAATATGCATAATTAGAATATTTACAAGATGTCCTATTATTCACATAATATTTAAGTTGTACATACATTACACTCGTATTTATTATTACTGTCTTTATCATTTTCACACCAAAATATAGTATAATCATTGGCTTGATTAGGTGCTAATATTGTTTGACTACTGGCATTTTTCCACGAAAGTTCAAATACACCTCGTTCATCAAATGCGATTTTTGTAAATGATAGCGGTTAGTCAATTTCTAATTACAGTCAACGTTAAAACTCATTCAAACAATTTTGAATTACATTTAAACAGGTACTGACTTTCGGATTCAATGGGAACAAAAATTGTTGAATACTCGATTGATGAACCTTCTTTATTCGATGAAAACACTGTAAAATTGTACGCAATGTCAGTACTGAGTCCTTCAAACTTGGCATAATTCGAATATGTTTCATTACTGCGGTGAATACTAAATTGTGAAAAAATGTTCAATTCATAAATTATTTGAGCAATAAATTAAAATATATAAAAAGAAATTAATTGAAAAATAGAACTAACATGGTTTTGTTATCTGTAGTTGTAGAAGTGAAGTAAGCACGATACTCAAATGAATCGCCACATTTCTCGTTGTCTTCAATATTTTGCCAGTAAATGAACACGTCTCTTTTGGATTTGTCCACTGGCGAAGTAACACACTCAAAGCTTCCAACATCAGTTCGTGGAGGTCTTCTAGGTACTATACGTAATTTATATTATAATTATTAAACATCAATTAAATTATATTATTTACGAAACGCATACTTATTAATTAAATGTTTAAGTTTAACAAACTCAATTATCATACTGTGCAGCCTAGGTATGCGTGTAACCATATAGATTAAGGATGGCGAACCTATGGCACACATGTCACAGAGTGACTCGTGCACACTATTTTAGTAACACACACAAATGTGTAAAAGTTTGATAATATAAAAGTTTTTGAAAAAAAAAATTGACGAGTTATCGAACTAGTTGACGCGCAGGGAAAACAAAGTCCAACCAAAATTGTTATTTGACACGGTGGCACAAAAAGGTTCGCCATCCCTGATATAGATAATAATACATAAATAAACTTACTTGAAGGATTAGTTTTCAAAGTTATGCAACCGGGAGGAGACCATTTATCCTCTCCACGAGCAACTGAAGAACGTACATATATTCGAAAATCGTAATGCGTGAACGGGTATCTTAAATCAGTTACATTGAAATAATAAAATCCAGTGTCACGTTCTCGACAATCCGAATAAGAATAGGTTTGATTGGAAGTTGATGGCGAACTACAAAAGTCACTCACATTTACAGACTACAAAAAATAAAGGTTACCATTTTATAATTTATATTTTTATTGGAAATTGCATAAGCACTCACATGCCAATGTTCAGGATTGGAATCCCACTGAGATTTATATTCGATCTTATGATTTAGTTCTCGTGGAAAAGTTGTCATAGCACCTACAGACCACTTTAGCAAGGCACTAGATTGTGTTGTGTCCACCACTGTGATATTAATAGGGCTCGCTGGGATAACTAAATAAAATGTAAAAAAAATTGTAATAGTCATTTTTTACAGGATTATTATTTTTAAGTAAAATGGTCGTAATCTAAATGATACGCTTGTTATTTATAGTTAAATACAATTTAAGCAATATGCAATGTACCATTAGCGTAGTGATGAAAACGAATAATTGTAGTTGAATTTCCCAATTCGTTATCCCCAATTAATGTAAAGTAGTAATATTCGTATGGTTGTCTATACATTGGTATTGTAGATAAATCCCAACAACAATTATTTTCTCTGGAATCTGCATCATTAGGACAACTTATAATAGTTCTGAAAAAATGATATTTGTATATAGTTACTAATTTCAACTTTAAATTACTTTTCTACAATACCTGTCTCCAGCATAACCGGGTAATTTAAAGAATAACTTATATGTCGTTCTAATTGGGTTTTCTGGTTTGGTCCAATTGCATTTCAAACTTACCCAATTGTAAGATATACAAGAGAAGTTTGTGATTATAGCTGGTTTATCTAAAAAATAATACTTTGAATGAAAAACCATTTAAACACAGTTAAAAGTCAGATTCTGAGCTAAAATTTTATATTAAAATCTATGTATTAATTATTATTATTATAGCTGCCATAATAATCCAAAATATTTTGGATTATTATAGCTGCCATAATAATCCAAAATATTTTGGTCTCGATCAATTTTTAAACATTTGGGAAATATCATAATTTTGATAGGAATTCATATGAAATCATTTGAAATCATTGTAAGTACCTATTCTATG